GGAAATTAAGAATTCCAAAAAAGAAAGAAAAAGATATCACTCGTTCTATGTACGGCAGACATGCTCTATTTTTCAAGCTTGGCAGGAGGAACTCCAATGCCGTTCGTGTTACGGTAGAAGAGCACTCCGGAGCTCTCACCCTTGGCACCCTCGGTGGGCTCAACCCAGTGGCACACACGGGCACTAGTCCAGAGAGCCTTGAAGAATCCGGTCCAGCCAGTGTGGGCCTCGGTCCGGTAGTGCGATCCCATGACCTTCTTGATGGCCTCGCTGGCCTCATCGGCGTTATAGAAGGGGATGGTGCTGACATAGTGGTGGAGAACATGGGTCTCAATAATACCGTGGAAGATGTGACGGCCGACGAAGCCGAAGTCACGGTCGATGGTGGCAGCGGCACCACGGGCGAAGTTCCAGACATCAGGCTGGTAGTGGGGGAGGGTGGGGTCGGTGTGCTGGAGGTAGGTGATGGCGACTATATCTTCCAGTCAGTATTCGTTCCAGCAATTGTGCCAGTTTATGAAGGGAGTTACTTACCCAGCCAGTGGTTCACCCAGAGGTAGGGGATACCGTACCAAACCAGAAGGTTCATCCAGCCGAACTTGGAGCCGACCAAGTACAGAATGCTTCCGACAATGGCGAGACCGATGTCACTCAGGACAATGAGCTTAGCATCCTTGGCCTCGTACAGAGGGCTAGACGGGTTGAAGTGGTTGACACCGCCGAAGTAGCCGTTCTGCTTGCCCTTTCCACGACCTTCAGGCTGACGTTCGTGGTTGTTGTGGCCAGTGACGTTGGTGAGCAGGTACATGGGCCAACCGAAGAGCTGCTGGAGAAGGAGGTTGGAGGCAGTGGCGATGGGGGTTTCCTCCATCAACTCATTGAGTTCGTGCAGAGCCTTGCCGACGCGAGAGGCATACTGCTCCCGGGTCTTGGGCACGAACACCATGTCGCGGGCAATGTTACCGGTGGCCTTGTGGTGCTTTCCGTGGGAGATCTTCCAGGAGAAGTAGGGCACCAGAAGAGCGGAGTGGCAGATCCAACCAACAGTGTCATTGAGAACCTTGGAGGGAGAGAAAGCCTGGTGACCGCACTCGTGAGCCAAAACCCAGACACCGGTACCGAACAGACCCTGCACGATGGTGTAAAGAGCCCACAGCACGACTCTTGCGGGCTTGTAAGGGACGGTCTCAGGGGTCACGTAGTTGTGGAAGACATAGAAGATGGTCGCGAGCCAGAAGACATCCCGGAAGACATAATACAAGCTGGTGAGAGCTTTGCGCTCATAGCAATGAGCGGGAATGGCATCACGGATCTGCTTGATGGTATAATCCGGGATCTTAAACTCGTTGCCATAGGTGTCCAGCATCTTGCCGCTGACCTCTGCCTCCGACGCCAACGACGACAGGGAAGTGGACGAAGGGGACTGGCGAGGGCTGTCCAGCGGGGAGGGGGTGACCGAGCTGGGAACGGACGAATCCGTAGCATTGCGGTGCAGCGCAACGCGCTTGGGGAGAGCTGTGGAAGACATGTTGAAGCTTGCCCACAAGAATGTGTTCTCGAGCTCGAAGACGGTGAAGTCTAGAAGTTGGAAGCTCTGTTAGCCAGAGTTCAATGCCGCAGCCTGTGCAAAGAACAAGTCAACATACCAATTGATCAGGACACGGCGCCAAAGCTGTAGCAGCTCAAGGTAGGCACTGGATGGCGTTGAGCTCCCACGCGGCGAAGGAGACGAAGGGTTGGGATCGGGGGGAAAGAAAAGAGGGAAGGAGAGGTAGGGTGACAATCGGAAGGATATAAATGGTCGCCTCCAAAGAGCCTTGACCGGAGGGAGAAGTGGGACGGGGTGGTTCAAAGGGAGAGAAAAGAAGCGGATGGACAGAGGCGAAAAGAGTGAAAGAAAAAAAAAAAGAAGGGCGATTGTTTGATGATCACCTGTTCAGCGTTCAGTAGAACCCGGGGAGAGGAGGGGGGAGGCAAAACAAAAAAGAAAAAATGAGGGTCCCGAAAGGAGGACAAAAAAGAAAAATTGCAAAAGAGGGAAAGGTAAGGGGGGAAAACACTCAAGAACCAAACGAACGCGAATTGATTGGGGAAGACTGAATTTCTAGTGCAGACGAAGAAGAAGAAGCCCAGAAGGCAAAGCCATCCAGAAACACCCAATCTGGATGCAAGTCCCGCCGGGCCCCTGGGCTGGTAATTTTGCGTTACGGGGGATCTCCCGCGAAAAATTTGTATTGGGTGGGACACATCTGATTGGTCAGGGGCTGCCGCGTTGATACGGGACGGCGTCCCGACTTACGAGAAGATTACGACCCAACAACATTACACTCTGCAGTATTCGCATTCTCATCTCACTCTGTCCTGTCATTTTGGCCTACAGAAGGGATCAGGGTGGATGGATAACCTCGGCGGCGCTTACTGGACCATCTCAGCGCGGTTTGCCTTTTGCGTGACATGCTCTACATCTGCAGATGGTTTCATCACTGGCTCGATCGACGCATCTGGCAAGGTAGTAGGAAGTTAATCTGCTTGACTCAAAGCAAGATCATGGAGAATCTGGATACTTGAGCCGAGGTCGACACAGGAGTCTGGTCTGTGGCTTGCCCGAGAGATGCGCATGCCTATGAACCCTCTAGGTTGCGGGCCATCCGTGACTGGTTGATGCGATGTATACGCCACCTGTTGCTTGCTTGGAAGGGGGCGGCTGATCCGTCCGGCCTGATTGCCAGAGGCGAGAGTGTCATTTGCATTCCGGGGTGTGCTCACTGCTGAGGGATTATTCTTTGCCCCCTTAAGCCGAGATCCTCCACCGCATGGCTCTCTCTCACCGCACGCCAGAAGATCATAAGATTGTGTGGTTGCACTCCTGACTAACCGGCCATGTGGCTCGAGTATTGCAAAATACTTCACGTTCCAGAAACAAACCCGAGCATGGTTTACCAGGGACCATGAACCGCGGAGGCTCACCGCCCCGCTGGAACCAATAGGATTTTGATTTCAGGCCCCACAGCCGGGTAAGAGGGAGAATTGGCTTCCCAACAATCTTGGCAGCTTTCCCCCTTGGGCGGTAGGCATGAACCCCGATGAAGAATTACGGTTATTATTCCAGTTTGATTATCGGAGGGGCTGGTCGTTGGCCCTGTGGCATTCGGATAATTTTTACTGGTCAGTTTCACCAGTCACCATGCGCGGACAGATGACACCTCGGATGGAGACGAAAAAAACAAAAAACAAAAAAGAGACTAACTAGTCAGTATGAATGGGTCGGAGATGACTCGGGCATCTTATCAGAAATCAAGAACTGGAGAGGAGTACTACCTACAAAACACAAAGAGTAGGGATGATCCTTCCCTAGCCAGCTGCTCACTGCTTGCTTCACTCCTACGCCCTGACAGACAGACCCTGTTGATTTCCTTCAAATCTTCACATGCCCGTGGTGTGGTATTCTCGATCGATCCGACCGACCAACCAACCAACCAACCAGCCTCTCCCAATCCAATGCGTGCGTCCAGATTCAACAGAGGTATTGAACGGATCATTGACTTTTTGCACACGAACGGTCCTGAGCGCGACAAGGTGCTGGTCTCGAATTGAATGAATGGATGAAGAACCCCCATGTGATTTCCTCCGCATGCAGAATGTATCTACCGACTGTGGACAGTAGTGGCGCGCCTTACAGCATGTACGGAGTACAGAGTATCTAGTTTCCAGCTCCACGGCTCGAACACAAAGCGGCAGAATCCACTTGCTGTGTACTGGGATGGGCTTTGGAATGGCCCTTAGACTTCCGGCGGCGCGGGTGGAAAAACTTTAACAAACCCAAGCCCCCCCCGACCAGCCAGCCCAGCCCATCCAGCAATACTTACTCACTTGCCACAATAGAGACGAGAAGATAACGGGTAATGCGAAATACACATGTAGGGTATTTTAGGGTAAGAAAAAGCGTTACATCCATCATAAGGGAACTGGAGATAATGAGAACCGAAGAAAAGGATGATGGGAAAGTTTTGATGCATGTGATTGTAAGATATGGAAGGTAAGTACGCCGCGATACCTTTCCCCAACTACTATCTATCTACTTAGTATATAGAACAACATGAAGTAAAACCCACCCACTCAATTAATTCCTCGACTCGATAATTATATACCTACATACATACATACAATGTCCATAAATAACACACATACATACATACATATTATACCCTCAATAACCCCCCCCCTTAAAAGCAACTCAATCCAAGCAAAGCAATCCAAAAGTACTACCAAAAGTAGAATAGTTCGGCGTTTGTAACGCATTGTCAGCATCTGTTGGGACACACCAGCCATTTTGTTGAGATTGGGTCCCGGTGGGGCTGGGGGGGAAAGGAAAGGGAAGAAGTAGCTGGCTGATCGGGAAACAAGGATATGTGGGGGTGGGAAAAAAAAGGGCGGGCGGCGTGTGTATGTCAATCAATTACCGAGTAACGTAGGTTTACTTCTAAGTTACTTTGCAATCAGTCATTCAGTCAATTCAGTTAGTTCACTGACTTTTACTCGCACTTGATATTCTATTTGAATTGTCTGGTGGGAGTGAGTAGTTTTTTTTGTGTGTAACATCTCTTAGGTTTAAATATCTGTTGATCGATTACTTTATTAGTATTATTACTGGAGTGGGTTGGGTGGTGAGGTGATGTGTGTTTGTTAGTTAATGGAGGTGTTTAAAGTTCTATTGTAGTACAATTTTAAGGGAGATGATGCTAACTAAGGAAGGTCGGTAATAAGTTAGTAGTTAGTATGGTATGCTGACCTTATCTGGTGGGAAAGTATGTGTGTAATGGAGTGTATGTATTGTTATAGGGATGTATTTTGTATTTGTCGGTAATTTGCAATTGAAGATGGTTTGATGTATATTGTTGGACTACGTAGTACACTTCATCTTCTTATCAATTCATTGCCTGCTAATAATACTGTCTATAGTATCATGGTTTCAAATATATCCCATATAGTCTATACAATATACACATGCATTGTACCTGGCTTCTAAGCTATGCTATGTAGGGAATTAATGTACTCTATGAGCTCGTTACATGCAACCGCTCCGAATCGATCAACCACGCCCCGCCATGACTGCCTCCCGACAGTGACAGGCTCACTGTCGTCGTGCGGAGATCGGGTAATACCAGCACGGTCTCGCCGTGGTTGCGGTAGTCAACCTCGCACGGAATGGGTCGGCGCTGCAGCGGTGCCACTGCCGCTGCGGCGGCGGCGGCGGCGGCCGTCATGGACCCAGCTGTCACGGGCTGTCCAAGGTTGGGGCTCATCGTCTGGGCTCCGGTAGCTGTCGTCGAAGATTGAGGCTGCGGCTGGGGCAGAGACGATGAGGATGTTGGGGATGGTGGCACAAAGGACCTGATCTCTAAACCCGGAAGAAGGAGGTGTCCGGCTTTCTGCGGGAGTAGCATGATCGCAAAGGTCTTGGTCTCGCCTTCTTCGGCGGTGAAGTTTCCGCGACGTCGCCCGCCAACGAGCCATGTTTCGGGATTTGCGTGGATCTCGTACGAGAAGTCAAGCGGACCGCCTGCGTTCTCGCGATGCTCCGGTGAGCACCACCGTCGTGTATGACGTATGCTGAGTTCTGCAGCAATCATCTGCCCAACTGCCGCATGGGGAGGCTGCTGTGCCAGATTGGTGAGGCGGAGCTCGGCTGTGTGCACAACTTGAATCTCCGGGATGTCAACGGGGATGACGATGTGTCTGCTGCGTACGGCTGGAGAGTCTGGGAGGCAGATGACCGGGTGATTCTATTTGAATTAGATTAGAAAAGCAAGGGGGCCGTCAGTGGGATGTAAGGGTGACTCACCTTATGCCAGTTCATAAGCCAGGCCTTCAGTCCATCCATTGGCTCCTTCAACGCACTCAGCAATGTCTCCCAGTGCGCATTCGCATACTGCAGTGTTTCCACCTCTCGAACGAGGCCGACAACTTCCATGTCGGAAGTCGACAGCTGTGAGCGGACGGTCTCAACAATGTGGGATGTAAGCAAGCTTGTGTACTGATGAAACTCGCTAGCTGCAATGCTTGACTTAAATGTCTGCTCGACTGCATATAGACATTCATCGTCCACGCAAGTAAAATCGACGCTTAGTCGCAGGGACCGTCTTGCTCCCGGAGTGGGAACGCTGTCTGGCCGCTGTCGAATCTTGTAGAGAAGAGATGCGGGTTGTTTGGCAAATACATTCAGTGCCACAGAATCACCAATACTCGACTGCACCTCATAGATGTCTGAGCTTGGGATTTGGCAATTTAAGATCCGGAGCGGTATCAGCATAGCCGGACTGATGGTAAACCGTGAGAATAGCACACTGTCCTTGAAGACATCCTGCACGTTGACACTGATTGGCAAGCCTGAGATGATGTTGTGCACCGAGGAATAAGTAAACCGCCCCTTCTCTGTCTCGTATGACACTTCGGCCCTTGCAGAGAGCATCGGGTGGTGTTCCTCGACCGTGTAAGGGATCCGGAACCGAACGAACGAGTTGGGTTTCAACTGAGTGAACTCAATGTTTCCCGAGTCATTATGGGCTTCGATCTTTATGTCACCCTCTACCAGTTCGGTTTCGGTCGTTCTCAATCGAAGACCAGCAGTGGCAGGTCTCACTCGAAGAGTCCCGCTCTTGATGTCATTCCATCCACTACTGAATTCCAGCTCTAGTGTTCGTAATTCCTCCAAATTGACAAAGTGCGGTGACACGATCTTTGCCTGAAGGCCGTCCGGTGGCGGAAAACAGTAAATGAATGGCCGACTATCCTCTTCCTCGGCCTCGGCCTCCCTGAATCCCACTGGCAGGGACGCATGCTTACCGCCTCCAAAAAGGAAAACAATATTCTTCGCTCGCATTTCAATGCGGTCCACGAAGTATTTACCTTGCAGTGTTATCTGATATAGTCAGTATCTGTCAAGAAAGCAACAGCACAAATAGCTGCGAACCCGTACTCACCGGAGAGTCGACCAACACTCTCGTCGACGACGACTTGATGGTCATTTTGATAGGAGCCTCTAGCCAATGCTCATTACTCTGAGCGTTGTGCGCACCCACCAATCGCAGCTTGATAGAATCAATATCAATGCGCTTACCCAAACAAAAGCGTAGGTACAATTGAAGCTGGAACCCATCCTTGTCCGCATAGTGTAAGATTGCAGGCTTGACGTTGATATCCGCAAAGAAATCAGTCATGGGGGCTATGACTTCTTTCTGAAGGGAACCTGATGCCTTGAACAGCTCCTCGACGTACTCAGAAATCAATGCATTTTCCGCAAAGATATGCGACGCATCTAGCGTCTTCTGCCGCTTCGACAGGTTGGACTCTGTATAACTGGCAAACTTTGCGAGAAGACGGAGGATCACCCGGACGTATTCTTCACTGCGATTAAGCTCTTTCAGACACCGAGTATACATTTCCAACATAATGCCCTCTAGCACAACCCAGTTCTTACTGCCATAAAACGGAGCAATGTGATGGAAATAAGACGCTGCCGCCCCATAGTCGCTCTGTCTGTAGCGTATGAGGGCCATGTCAGCAAGTGCGGCCTGGGTTGAGTACGTCCGATTTGCAGCGATGTGGTGACGGTACATCTGATCTGTAAGATCTTCATAATGCACACGGAAAGCCTTTCTGGACTGGAGAGCTAGCTTCAAGCCAGGAAGATCGATACCAGACAGAAGATTGGTTTCCCCAGACTTATCTGCTGTCTGTGGAGTCTCGTCATCAAGCGATACTTCAGCCATATCGTCAGCATCCGATCCTCGATCATTGAACAGAAGATGGAGATCGTTCCAAGTCTCCTTCCAGCCAAATCTTGCAGATATTTCCTCCAAGAGTCGGCGAGCCATCAGGAGCAACTCCGCTCTTCCAGAAGCTAACTGCTCGGATCCGGTCTTGGGCGTAAGCTTGGGGCCCTCAAAACCCGGTCGAGCGTGGACAGACGAAAGGGCATCTGGAGGCAAAATGCCCGAGGTTGTCATACGCCGGGGCTGAGGCGTAGCTGCAGGAGTCGCAAGCGAACTTGAGCGCCTGGGAAGCTGTGGGTGGCCCTCAGCATGTGTAGCAATTTCTGCTGGCTTGTTGACAGCATGCAGTGAGGACTCTGGAAGTGTAAGGGCGGGAGTAAAGGTCTGAGAAAGCACCTGGGAGGCAGCAGCATAGGCCCATGATGATACGATATTGTTCACCACCTCTGACTTCCTAGCATCCTCGACATCTACCAGTCCCGTCTCAAGGTCGAACCTTAGTGTCCGCGCCGCAAGACTAATGAATTCGGTTGCCCTCTGGCAAGCTTCGGAGAGAAGCAGTAGATTTTCCGGCTTCCTGTCTTTCTTGGACGACTGTGGAGCTGCTTCTGCTTCCTTACTGAGTAAGGAAGGAGCCTTTGCCGCCCTAAGCAGTAATGTCAATTGTCTTGAGAAGACATAAGTGCGGAAATCAAAGATAGAGATATCACTGGCCAGTATCATCTCCCGATACGGCTTTTTTGTTGCAGATATGGGAAAGTCATCCATTGCAATTTCCGGAACGGGTTCTGGCTCATCATCTTCCTCGCCCTCGTCCTTGCGTGCTACTTCTCCTCCAGACTCCAGAGCCGATTTTGCCTTGTCTTTCCAGTCCTTGCTGTAAGTCAGAAATGCACCTCCATGTTGATCTCCAGTTCCTTCAAGCTGTTCTTGTATCGCGGTGTCCAAACCGACCGCAAGTTCATCGTAGCCGAGCAGCGCGTCCTCGAACAACCCCACATTTTCGAAGCCCCTAGCTAGACCCTCCTTAAGGATGAAGAAAGTACAGAAATTCCAACCAGGCAAGCTGCGCTGCGAGTCTTTCTCTTTGATGTCCTCCTCATACTGCGCGACGCGAAGGTCAAAGGATGCCAGGATTGCGTTCTTCAGCTTCTCAACCAAGTCTTCGATCTGATCGACCAGCTCAGGTGGCTTCGCATTACTCCCCTGCTTAGGGAGGCGCAGCTGAGCTACGCGATCGATGGTGGAGGACTTGGAAGTTCCGTTGAAGTCGGCCTTGACCTTCTCAAGGACTGTGGTGGTTGTGCGACCCCATTTAGAAGGGGCGGACTTTTCCGCCCCCTCTCCGTCCTGCACCACATGTACAATGAGCCAGTCGAAAGCATCGTGCTTCTCCTGGCTAGTGGACGTTGCGCTGGACGAGGAGGTCGTGGAATGGGATTTGATCCAATCCCGCAGCGCCTTCCGCGCCGTAGCCTTGTAGGTATCGTTGTCGTCACAGCGGAGCAAGTAGATCTTCAAGTAGGGGGTCTGGCGTAGGCCTGGGATCTGGTGTCGCCGGTGCGTCACGGTGGCACTGGCCGTGTCGGTAGAGGGCTTGCGCTCGTCCGATTCATGCTGGGCAGGGACGAAGCCGATACGGAGGGACTCGATGGATCGAACAGGGCGGGTCGGGGACTTCCAGTGGAGGTTCTTTAGAGGTAGCTTATCTGCAAGGATGGACTGAACAGTGGGGAATAGACCGGAGGGATCAGTATACTCGACTGGAATTTGTATCGAAGAAGTGAGCAACGTGTACCCCAGAATGCCATCGGAAAGCCATCGGGGGGGTGGGTATCCTTACCGGTGACACTGCTGGAGCCCGCCTGGGGTGAGGGGTCCATGATGCCCGAGCACTATTCGGGGGTCAAGGGACCACTCGCAAAGGGCATGCCGCCTGACTGACCGAGAAAGGGGGGGAGCCTAACTCCTAGCTAGATGCGCAGTAAGGGGAGGGAATTGGCAGAGAGGTAAGTATATCGGCCACCGCGGTGATGATAATATTGCGGTTGTTTTGGCCCGGGGGCGGCATGACCGCCTTTCTCTCCGCGCGTGTGGCCTTCCTTCCGCCTAACCTTCCCCGACATCCGTTCGTAGAGCCCGCAATGGTTACGGTTGGGCTGCTTCCAAGCTGCTACGAAATACTATGCCATCCATCTGTTGATACTAGAAAGACACTCAATCGTAAAAGATATATTCAGCTCTATGCGCAGTATGGAAAACAATAGGGGATGGGTCCTCTGCAGGACACGTGACTTGGTCTTCATTAAGTGAAAGAAAGCCGTAGAGAAAAGAGATCGCCTAAGGAAACACACAAGAATCTGTACAGGAACAATTGAGGGCAGGGATGGTTCACCAGAAACAAGACAAAGAGATCAAAACAGTCATATCCCGTCATTATGGAACAATAGCTCTTTAACAAATGAGAAAACATGCCCCGTTTGTATTACCGACCCAGAGGACAGAACGCCCTAGCTCAAAACAGATGAAGGAAAGGAGGAAAAGAAAAACAGATGTCAATGGCCAACTTCTAAGGCGCGCTGCGCATATTGAGCCTTGACGAATTCATAGCCGCTGGTAAAGCCTTCCCAGATGCCCGGGACATAACTCCGAATCCAAGCGCAGATGACCAACAGAAGGAGCGGAATCTAGCAACCGTTAGCAGTGGTTCCAAAGAGATACTGACAATTCCATGAGCGGTCCTACTTACCCAGATGAAATACAGATTCCGATCGCTACCTAGACCCTTCATTCGCCGCGCTTGCTGCTCCCGAAGGTGCTTCTGCTGTTCACGAGATATCACCTTGCGGCCAATCCGGATATCTTTGATATCTTCGCTCTCTGGCTTGGTTCGGACGACCTCCGATGTGCTGGCCTGCGCTTCGAAATGCTGATCGAGTGCTGCCTCCGTCGCTGCTTGAAGCATACTCGATTTCTTCAAACGCGTTGCTTGCTCATCATCTTCGTTCTCTTTGTGCGGGTAGAGTTCCTCATAGGAGGGTAGCTCTGTACCCGTAGGGGCGGAATTGCCCGTCAGCATATCCCACCAGCCATCTTTGGCAGACCGCGCGGTGCTCGGACGGTGAGGAACCAGATTGGTGATACGACGCATCATCGGATGGGCTTGGTAGTCAGGCAGTGCGGGCATAGGCGGCAACGCAGGCAGATTGGGGAAGGCGTTGGCCACACTTTGCTGGAACTGATTGATTTGGGCCTGCAGTTGGTTACGCCAAGCAACCAGGGCGGCCGGAGGCGAAAATGGTCGAGCATCGTCCGACTCTGCTGGCTGCTCAGGTCCAGGAATCGACACTGGCCGCTCGTGATGCATACTCGACCGGCGGGAGGCGCTATAATCGATTACATCGTCGTCGTCTTCCGAGTCATCGGAGTCTTCAACGGCATGGTCAAAAGAGCCCGACACAGATGAAGAGTCCCAGAGGGAATGTAACGATGCGGAACTGCTGTGCCTGCGACGCGAGGAGGAAAGCGATCCAACACTACGTGAGCGGTAATGACGTGCAGGTATCAAAGCCGCCTGGTGAGCAGGCAACGTCGTAGCGAGGTCTGCTGGAGTGAAACCCCTAATGCTACGGGCATTAGGGTTGGCACCGGCAAGACGGAGCCTGTTGACGATATGCGCATGACCGTTCAGAGCCGCAAAGTGCATCGGCGTGTTCCCGGTGTTATCCTGCAGGTCAGGATTGGCACCTCGCGCAAGCAGGCCGGCCACGAACCGTGTCAGGCCCAAGGAGGCAGCAAAGTGGAGCAGTGTCTGGCCTGTCGCAGAGCGCGAATTGTACCTGGGTGGGCGTGGGCTGTCATCAAGATCGACAAACTCGAGGTACTTCCACATTCTACCATCGAGGTCACCAAGTGAGACTTGCGACTCCAGCCCAGCCGCCTGCCGCTGGTGACCACCACCAGAGCCTCCTGGGAAGTCCTTTTGTAGGTTGAAAACGCCCTTCATGTCACTGCCCATAATCTGCTGAGCCGTCTGGAACGCATCTGCTTGACTGCCGAGTTTCTGTCCAAGGATACCAAGAGCAAGGCGATACATCTGCAACTCGCGGTCGTCGACATAACGGAAGAACTGCTGCTGCTTTGGCATCAGAGGTTGAGTTGGCTGCATCTGGCCGAAGGTGGGATGTTCATGCTTGAAAACCACCGCCACAAGCCCGGGTTGAAGTGCAGGGGGTGTCAGGCAGTTGAGACACTTATCACCCCAGAACGTGGTAGTGGTGGCTAAAGTGTCACCAAAAACGACTTCCATCCCAGGGTAGAAGCCGCTTCCAAGCAAGGTAACCTCTGTGCCTCCCGTAATAGAGCCTTCTGCAGGTACCAGTTTGTGGATGACTGAAGGTAACCGGTTTCCCGCATTGGTTAGTGGCGGCCACATTGGTGAGGACGTGTTGGGTCCCAAGGCAATATTGTAATTTGGATCCTGGAAATTGTTGCGCGAACCCCCAGGGGTCCCAGGACGACTTGGTTGGGCGGAGTTCGGTGCAGACATCAATTGCTGCTGGATAAAATTGTCCAAACTCTGTTGTTGCATGGTGTTAAGGAAGGGGTTGGTATCTGCGCCGTTTGGAGTCGGCGGTCCGTTAGGGAACTGATTAGATATGGCAGAAGCAGTGACGAAGGGCCTCTCCGCCGGGGATGCGAACCCGCGAGTGCTGGGAAAAGGTGGATCATTGTTAGGAGCTGAGGAGCTGGAGACACTACCTGACGACTGCGTGTTTTCCAGCTTGGTCATAGTGAGTTCCGATGGCAGTCTCCCAGAGTTGCTGTGTTTGCGACGCTTGCTCATCGGCCCTTGGAAATCGTTCGGCGATGTCTGTCGAGAAAGACTCCGCGGCGTTTGAGTGTTGGTGGTTGTGCCGTTCGTTGAGGACTGGGACACGGGGAAGGAGCCCGACGTCAGATATTGAGTGTTGAATCTTTGCTGCAGACCCTGCAGATCGGTAGCTGAAGATGACTGGGCGGCTTGTTGCGACGGGGCCGATGATTTGCCTGTGTCAACACTGGGGCTCGAAGGGAACACGCCAACGCCCGGAAGCTGTGTCCCGTCCGGTAGAGAAGGAGATGGACCAGGAGCTGGTGGAGCGGGAGGTGCATGAGTTTTGTGGTCGTCGGTAATCATGATAGAATTCGTTATCGCCTGAGCAACAACATTATCCTTATAATCCTTGACAGTGAAAATGACCCTAAAAAGTAAGAAGTTAGCAAAAGTGCTACAATACCACATCCGCCCAGAGCCGGGTATACGTACTGAAACCCAAGCTTCTCATTCTGATGCCTGCAGTAGCATGCGATACGCATGGGCAACTCCACTTGCATGGCCCCTGGAGGGATATTAGGCATCGGGGCGTCTCCAAAGCTCGGCATGGCATTCTTCGATGGCTCGGCCCATTCCTTGACTTCGTTGGTGTTGAAGACGATTACCCTTTTCTCCTCGTCCTTCTGGAAGAGTTCGTCTTCCTCCGGCTTTCTTTGCTTTTTCCTGAACGCACGCTTCCGCTCACGCTGTATACATCCAGGGCAGATCTTCACTTCTCCGCCATCCAGTGGCTTATCGTCTTCTTGCATGTCTTCAGCGGAACGTGGGCTAGAGCTGGATGAACGGTAAGAGTTATCTCCTCTTGCTCTGGCAAACGCCTTCTTCAGCTTCTCTTGATCCTGCATCGCACTTGTACAAACGAGACTTGTGTGCAATTCCACAATCTCCGGGGACCGTTCGACAGTCGGCGGTGCAAGAAATTTCGGCTTCGAGATGGTGTGGCTCGGCAAGCGCAACTTTTTGACGCCATTCGGTAACGGAAAGAGGGTCAGCCTGATAGGAATTTGAGTCTCCACGCGTGATTTGAGGGAGGTGGGATGCACGGTTAGCATGTGACGCTGCGTCGTCTCCTGCTTCACGGTGGTTGGAGAAGGGGACGGTGCGAAGTTGACACCAAATGGGAAGCTACTCGGTCCGAAGTTGAGACCCGGAGTAAGCGGAGAACCGCCATTCATGTTAATTCCACCGAAGCTTTCTTCCAAAAGTGATGACGGTGAATGGCCTCCCCATGGGCCCAGTGGCGACTTGGCCTGACTGAAGCTTCGCGAAACGGAGAACGGCGAAGGCTCCTTGGTGTTACGAGGAAAGAAGGATGACCCATTCATCTGTGTACTATGTGTCAGCAGAGCACGATCGAACCGGCGGCAATGAAAAAAACGGGAACTCACCGATGAGGCAGAATGTCTGGCCGAAGTGCTAGAAACACTCCGCATCTGGGATTTTGATCTCTTAGCAATTCTGGGCTGCGCAGACTCGGATTTCAGAGGGCTAGGACTGCTGGCGGCACTCTCAAAATCAAATGCGGCATCCATGGCTTTGTTGCTCGATTCAAGATCGGTGTCTGTGGGAAACGCGCCGTCAAGGTTTGGCAGGGAAAGGTCCAGACCGAACAGCGACTCCTCCTTCACTGATGACAAGTCGGGATTCATCCAATCCTCTGTCGCATATCCGAACGGCATAACAGTGTTTTCGCTATGGACAACCGACGCAGACGAGGTGACGGACGGGTTTCGAAGATGATTCCGCGGTGATGTGGAGGAAGAGCTAGGAGATGAGCCATCCGGGGACTCGGCGGGGGAGTCGGACGATACAACATTCACTTGTCGCAACGCATCCTGGTCTTGATACGATCGCTTGAGAGACAATTCCGAGGGCGACAGACACGATGGCTCCGATTCCGCGACCGGGCGGGATGAAGTGGCGCGTGAAAAGATGTCGTCAAAGTCCCTCCCTGCGTTTTCCGCCGACATCTGCAGCCTCGCAGTATCTAAAAAGTCCATATCTTCG